AGATGCTAGACAAATCAGCAAACCAAATTCAGCAATACACAAAAAGGAAAACCCATCAGGACCAAGCTGGGTTTACACCAGGTGTGCAAAATTAGTTAAACATCAGAAAAATCACTCAATCCTAATGGAAGAACACACGACCAATGAAGTACTCTCCCCTCATCCCCCTCACCACCCAAAGTTAAATCTCAATGTGGTCAAGGTACTCTTTCAGAAGGAGAGAAGAAATCTAGGGTAATTAGAGGGGGGAGGGGGGAGGGAGAGGGTGATGGGGAGAGATTGCACAAGGGGCATAAAGTATAAGTACGATTTGTAACAATGTATATGCTAGCAATATTGATTAGGTCAACATATCTCAATGTTGAACCCTCAAAATATGTTTAATCAATTTTGATTCAATAAATAAAATAAGTTTAAGTAAATAAATAAATAAATAAGAACCAAAAGAGTATCAGGGTTAGCCAGTTAGCTCGGGCCATCAGAGCACATTGTTATAACACCCGGGTCAAGGGACTGGATCACCATACCAGCCAGCCACCAAAAAATAAAAATAAATAAATAAATAAAAGAATATCAATTAATCACAATGTGTGCACCTTATTTGGACCCTGATACAAATTGTAAAAGAAAACATCTATGATGTTTCTAAGACAACTGAGGAAATCTGAACACTGACTGGACATTTGCTGAAATTAAGTAATCATTATAATGTTTTTTAATGTGTGAAAATGGAATTGTGTTTATGTTTTAAAAAAGCCCATATCTTTTAACAAAAGAGAATTAATAAAACAATGTAATTCTCCCCATTAACAGAGAAAAGGGAAAATCATGTAATCATTTCACTGCTTGAACAAAAAGCACTTGACAACATAGAACACTGGACTGGGAGTGGGAAAACTCAGGTTTTAGTCCTGACCCTGCTGTGTAACACCAGGCAGATCACTTCACTTCTCTGAGCCCCTATTTCCTCACTTATAAAATAATAGCGTTAAACTACATACTTTCTAAAGTCCTGCCACCCAGCTTTCATTTTTTTCCAACTATGTATTGAAAGGCTTTTAAATGTTGGAATATCCATGTCGATTTTAAAATTCTATGACCCACTCTCACTAGTTTCTTATTTCTCTTGTGTTTCACCTCCTCTCGTAGGATGCCTATTCTAAACCTACACTTTGGGGGTTGAAAATCATTATAAATGTAAGCAAAATACAAGACCAGTAATTTCATTATTTGTTATTTGTAAATATTACCTCTCCATGGTGAGGGGCTGTTTCTTTGTTCTTTTTCTTCCAAAAACTACTAAAAGAACAATTTTAATTTATTACCCTCTGCATATAGGAACTACAATATGTACTTTTTTTATACACAAGCCTTGTGACCTTGGAAAAGTTATTCAGTCTTACTGTGCCTGGGGATGATGGGATGAGAAAACCACATATTTCACAGAATTGTGAGGGTTAAATAAGTTGAAATATTTTAACTTAGGGGCTGACCCGGTGGTGCACTGCTACAGTGCGCCGCTTGGGAGCGTGGCGGCGCTCCCGCCGAGGCTTCAGATCCCACATACAGACCGGTTCCCGCTCACTGGCTGAGCGAGGAGCGGGCGCGACACCGAGGGTTGCGATCCCGTTGCTGGTCCCGGTCCGGTACGGGCGCAACACTGAGGGTTGCGATCCGTTGCCGGACACAAAAAAAGGCAAAAAAAAAAAAAAAAGAAATATTTTAACTTAGAACAGTGCATGCAGGGGCCGGCCCGGTGGCGCACTGCTACAGTGCGCCGCTTGGGAAGTGCGGCGGCGCTCCCGCCAAGGGTTCGGATCCCACATACAGACTGGTTCCCGCTCACTGGCTGAGCGAGGTGCAGGGAGCAACACCGAGGGTTGCGATCCCGTTGCCGGTCCGGGTCCAGTACGGGCGTGACACTGAGGGTTGCGATCCCGTTACCGGTCACGAAAAAAGACAAAAAGGAAAAAAAANAAAAAAAAAAAAAAAAAAAAAAAAAAAAAAAAAAAAAAGAACAATGCATGCAAGCGCTCAATAAATGTTAACTATTACTACACATGTTAATAACTTTCAGGACTACAAGCAGTTAATGCATATCATGGAACCAGAGTGAAGCAGAGCAGAACTCTCAAAAATTAGATGGAAAATTCCATAGTCCCTGAGTCCCAGGCCTTTGGTTAATATGTAATACACCAGCTAATGATTGCAGTTGAAATAAAAGGATAAAAGAAAGTAGTTACATGCAAATGTGGGAAAGTTTCACCAGGAGTAAAGTAATAATAACTACAGATCTGTGTCAGAGTGGTAAGACTTTGCCGTTCCCCTTTTTAGGGGCTACAGATAACATCACTGATGTAAGTCTCTGAGTTGTTTTCCAGAAACCAAAACCTCTCCCAAAGGAGACTCATGACTACCTGCAGACCATCAGAACATAGTCCCAAGACTGAATGAAAGATTCTACAAATAACTTGTGATTACACCCTGGCATCCGATTAGCACTGTCCACGAGCTGATCATGTACAAAGTCCCTTACTCATGATTACACCCCATATACACCTTTGTCATCAAGCAATCAAGGAGCTTGGGTTTTTAGCCTGAGCTATCCATCCTCCTTGCTTAGCACTTTGCAATAATAAAACGCCGACCTTTCCATCACTGCAATCCTGGTGTCAGTGTATTGGATTTACTGTGCGTGGGTGAGCGAATCCTGGCTTGGTTTGGTTTGGTAACAAGTGGGTGAGCGAATCCTGGCTTGGTTTGGTTCGGTAACAAGTGGTTCTCAAACTTGTATGTTATTAGACTCATCCTTGGGAATGCTGATGCCCAGGCTGCACTCCAGACCAATCACATCAGAATCACCAGGGATGGGCCCCAGTACTTTTTAGTGTCCCACAGCAATTGCAGTGTGCAGACAAGCTTGCGAAAACAATGACACAAACTGCAAAGATAAGCAGGCATGAAATGGCTAGAAAATAATTTAAGAGCTGAGTTTTAAGTCAGGTTTGGAAAGAAGAGTGGTGCCTAACCCTTCAATTCTATAATATTTTTTTAGTTAAAAACTTGTAAGCGATCAGAGATGTGAATAAATTGCGTAGGTACTAAAAGTAGGTTTCCTTGGGGCCGGCCTGTGGCTCACTCGGGAGAGTGCGGTGCTGATAAAAGTAGGTTTCCTTAACTCAAGTGGAGGACAAAAAATGAAAAATATGTACAGTAAGCTAGACACACAGGATTAAAATGTAATATCTATTTAGATAATGAAAATAAAAGGTTAACAACCTGTTACTTTTAAAAAGACCTGATATTTACATTCAGAGTCTGAAAGACAACAATCTCCCTGTGCTGCAGAAATTTAATTACCTGGAGAACTGGAGTGCACTTAGGAGGAACACAAACGTGGTACCAAGTACAAAGGAAACACAAATTGCCCTAAGATAAAAATTATTTTATATTCCACCCAGTATCTAGCACAATGGGGCATTCAGATCCTTAAAAAAAAAAAAAAAAAAAAAAACACAACACAGGTTGTAATGCTCCAGTCTGACTCATGCACCAGCTGCTCCACTGACCAGCGTCATCACAATCATCACTTTCAACAGGTACAGGCAGTCCCACAGGTGTGCAGCACGGGCCTACCTGTCATGGACTGTGAAAGACAGAAGTCTCATCTTGGAGATCAGACCCACGGTAAGACTTATTTCACTTTAACAAAAAGCCCACCTGAGAATGGAGAAATCCATGTTTGGGTGCTGTTCTTTTTTTCCAGGGCTAGTTCACAAACTAAGCTAGGGAAAATCCTCATCCTGCGGAAAGTTCTTGGTTGATTTCCAGTTTGCCCTCCCAGAGCATTTTCAGACACCTGCTGCATTTTTCTACCACAAAACTGAGATGCTGGATGGGTTCTATGTTCTAGGCTATTTTCTAAGTCAAGGCTGTGGACACTGAAAAGGGAACTGAGTGAGAGGCCTTGGATCTGGGTGACAAGTTGCCCTGGTAATTCCTTGTCTAAACTGTAAACTATGGGGCCGGCCTGTGGCTCACTCGGGAGAGTGTGGTGCTGATAACACCAAGGCCACGGGTTCGGATTCTATATAGGGATGGCCGGTTTGCTCACTGGCTGAGAGTGGTGCTGACACCACCAAGTCAAGGGTTAAGATCCCCTAACCGGTCATCTTTTTAAAAAAATAAAAAATAAAAAAACTGTAAACTAGACAGAACTACAGAGCCACATTTATAAATGTGCTAATAACCACATCCCACCAAAAATGAAAATTTACAGGCGGGCACATTTTGCAATTCTTAATTACCTTTTTTACCCCCAATACTTCTTTATTGTTTAAGCCAAGTTTTCCAGCCTCTTTCATTAGTACGTTAGTAAGTAAAGTGTTAGTATTTATGTGCTTTGTTTAAATATTTTACCTGCAGCCACTTCCACACCGTTAGTCAACATTTTCATCTGACAGATGGAATCAAGGCCTTGGCCTCCCTTAAACAAAACATCCATCCCCAAAGAAGTGCAGTGTATGAAAACGGCTCGCCCTTCTTTCTTGCTAGACATTCCTGGTGAATCCCTGCACATAGGCGCACAAGTTTGCAAACAGGAGCAATTCTTCAATGTGAAGTCCTAGAAAAGTACGACGATAGTCTGCCACCGCAGGAAGAAAAGCACTAATAATCTGAACGAAGCCAAAACACAAAAGTCGAAAAAATACACGCTGCCCACACCAAGAGCCCTTTAGATATAAAACACAGCAATCTTCGAGAATCAAGGTTCGTACAAACTCGCTAGTTCTGTCAACACGCTCAGTCCCACCAGACCACGCAGGGACCTCGGGGGCCGCTCGGGGAAGACGTGGGGCGCTCTCCGCCCCGGGCCACCTGGGCAGGGCCTCTGGCGGGCGTGCGGGGCCGAGGAGTGGCCCTGAGGGGGCGGCCCGGATCTGTCTCCTCTCGGCCCCTCCAGGCCCAACCTCCCCGGGCACCCCGGGCACCCCGCTCACCCGGCTCGGCGCCGCATCCCTGCGCTGGGCACCGCGCTCCGGGGCGAGCCGACGGTCGCGGCCAGGAAGCGCGCGGCAGAGGGGAGGGGA